TTATATACAATGACATTCATCTATGATTCTTCTTATACCTGCATGCAAAGTCTCAGCCCGATCGGTTTAAAATTGATAAAGTTTCATACAAACTTTCATTCCTTATTTTATCCCCTTGGGATTTTCTTTATATTTTTTTCCGTAAGAACCTTGTACAGAGTATTAGAAAACTACAAAAAAAAAACAGCCAAATCGGTCAAGCCGTTTTCATGTTATGTCGTGACAACGGAAAACGGGTTTCATTTTTATATATATAGATATGAAAACAGTCTCTGTTCTAAATTCAAAACTCGTAACTTTTCCCGATGTTTGTTGTACGAGTTTCCCGCGCTAGGACCGCGAGTGGCCGCGCATGCGTACGGTGCGGCGGGCGATGCGGTAATGGCAGCGCGGCACATGAAGTTGGTCGCTAAAGCGACCAACTTCATGGTGTTAATTTTTTGTGTTACAGATGCGCGCGCATCTTAAAATTTCACTCTCATAATTTTTTTATAACGCGCCTAAAGAAGTATAACTTCAAAAAACCTCCACCCGTTCCTGACGGACGGACGGACGGACAACAAAGTGATTCTATAAGGGTTCCGTTTTTTCCTTTTGAGGTACGGAACCCTAAAAAACAACAGACGGGAATAATTGCTTTCGTTAACCTGCGACATTAACGCCATTGATTGGTATTGTATATATATAGGGTGATTAACAACATTTGAAATTAACCTCTTCCATCTACATTGGTTTCTTTTGGTTTCTGTGAATTATGTAGGTAAAACAAATTATGAGACTAGAATATGACACTGCATTTGTGAATATCACAATCTTAAAGCAGGACGTTGACAATGCAACCACTACCAATTTTAGATAGTCGACGAATATAAGGAAATGAATTTTATATTTACTTCTAAGTTACTAACAAGAACATAAGCAAACTATGACTTATAGGAGTTAACTATAAAATTTACATGCATTAGTTATAAAGGTAACAACTTGATTTAACTTCACACATTTTTACGATCATTGAGGCCCATCTGTAGACTTGACTCTTGTGGTAAGGTCTCCATAATATGTTTCAATAAAACAGTCGTTTAGAGGTACCACCGCAAGGTACTTAATAATTTCTGCGATATTAACTCTCGTACTGAAGTAAGAGGGTATATACCATCTTATAATCCTAACTAAAAAGCCTGTAGAAAATCCTAAATAAAAGTTTGATTCGTACGACGTAGCCTGTAAGGGCTACGAAAGGTCAATAAATAAATAAAGTTTCGTGCATTAACCCGTAAAAACTAGTTTTATTTAATGAGTGATGTGCGTGAAAACCTAAGAAACAAATAAAAAGCGTTCAACAAAAAAGAGAAAATTAAAAAATCAAAAAAACCCGTCTGCTTAAATATTACTTAAAATATAAAACTGAAAAGAAAAAAACAAGTCCAGCAGTCTATCATTCTGTTAAGTAAGGAACAAAGCTATTTTAACAGCCGGGACCCATTATAAAAAACAATGATCCATTCTTGAATATCTAATGGGTCCCGATTATTAAAATAGCTTTGTTCCTTACTTAACATAACGATAGACTACTGGACTTGTTTTTTCTTAACAGAAATATAGAAACCGTTAAAAAGCGAAGATTTAAACCTTGGTATCCGCTATACTTTCGACAGTTTGTACGCACGCATACCAAGATAATTATAAATGTGACATTAAAACGCGTGAATTAAAAAGAAAAGGTTTCCGTGATAATGGATAAATTTTACCCCTTATCACACCATTCAAATAGGTATGCGTGACCTTTCCGTCTAAAAATCATTGGTTAGCCGGTTTTTTTTTATGTTGAACATAATATTTCACACAAAATTCTATATAAGATTGATCAAAATCCGTGATGGCGGAAAAAAAATATGGAAATTTAATAATAAATAATTTAATTAAAATATTTCCGGCCAATCAAATCCACGCCGACCAAGCAAATCTTGTTCGTCTAAACGTTAACTTTTATTTTTTATTAAAAATATTAGAATCCGTGATCACGGAGCTTTCAGGATTCTCGCCTATAAGAAGAATCTAACGGCATATCTCAAGTCAAACTTCATCAAGCCGTTTGGGCTACAGAACTTGCCAAAGAAATGTATTCTTTGCATAAGTCTCATCTCATCTACCTGAGCGTGCGCACCGTTGTTTGAGCGTGTTTGTTTCGCAGAACCGCCTCACGCGTTGCGGGCAGCGAGCTCCAAAGAACCGAATACTAAACAAAATACCGAATCATACCAAAATTCACAAATTTTCTTCTCCCACCACTCGCGCAGTCTAAGTATTATCGCATAGTACCTATGCCGCGCAGTTACTTTGCCCAAGGAACTTAACTTTGATATCGTCATAACTTTTTTAATATTTGTCAAAATGGCATACTGTAAATGGTAAAGTTTATCGTCTTTAAGTATAAAAAGCGATAAAAGCTGATAAAAGAATTAGTTTTTATAATACATATTTTTTTAAATAAAATCATGCCGACTATAATAATTATCGGCCCATTAGCATACTCTCGTGTTTAGATAAAATGATAGAAAGATATATGAGAGATGAGGTAAGATGTAACTCCATAATAAGTTGTAGGCAGTATGGTTTCCAAAGGGGGAAAAGTACAACTAAATTGCTAAGTAAATTTACGGATGAGGTTAACAGTTTTTTAAATGATAAATTGAAGGTTTTAATAGTATTTATTGACTTTTCTAAAGCTTTTGACGTTCTAAATTATGAGATATAATATAAAAAAAAAATGCAGAATGGTATACAGGGCCGCGCTTTAGAATTATTAAAAAATTATCACACGAACAGATCATACTACTTACTTTATTTGAAATTTTGGCTGTAGCAGCCAAAATTTCAAATAAAGTAAGTAGTATGACTCCAATTGATAGGGGCACGGCTCAAGAAGCCTTGAGCCTTCGCCAAACTGAATATTTATTGTACGTCAATGATATGGTGAATTTAATAGGCATGGACCATGTATACCAGTTTGCGGATGATACCTGCTTGGTTGTAGCTAGCAAAAACATTACAGAAGCTCAACAACAAATGCAAAACAAATTTGATTTGTTATGTAAATGAGCCCACGATGTGGGATTACTGCTAAATGCTCAAAAAACTAAACTTTTGCATATTCACTCATAAAAATATATAAAATACAACGAACAATGCTTAAGACTATTGTACCATTAAAAATTAAATTAAAGTACAAAGATGACGATAAATGATTGTTTAAGCACTGTAATGTAATCAACGTATATGATAAAATTAAGTATTTCATCCTTAAAGAGCAGACTGACCGAGACAAATTGTTAATCCATTATCAAAGACCATTAAATCTTAGGAACTTAAAAAATAATAATTTATTTATTACTACAAAGTACAATAATATTTATGGTACCAGAACTTCTATGTATTTGTTACCCTTATTCACCAATGACCTACCAGAGGCTATTCAAAATAAAATAAATCTTCTAGACCCTTTAATAAAATGTTAAAAGAATATTATTTAGAAAACCAGACAGGCTGTATGGTGTGACTAGCTGTGGAGCGACTCTGCAGCATAGATAAATCCTTAAGGTTTTTGTGCTGTAATGATGTTTATATTGTATGTAAATTAATTAATAAATAAAAATTGAAAAAAAAATATGTATATATTTGTTTCTTAGGTTTTAACGCACATCACTCATGAATATATATATAAAAATATATATATCCAATATGATTTTATTTATGATTTACTAATTTAGCAATAATGGCTTACACATAAAAGATAGATATATGTCGTCGCGACTTTTTTATAGAACTATTTAATAGATACATTTCTACCATACATTATATTCATCTAAGTTTGACGGTTTTTGCAGCGCACGCCAATATGGCTCGCAGATAGGAGATTTTTTCCATCTTACGTGACACTGTTATGTTTTGGCCAATTCGTTCAATAACTTCATTAATTATAATTTACATATTATTATATATTAGATATGAGCTATATTATTGTATAGTTTCATTGAAATCCATTCAGTAAGAAAAGTTTAACTAGAAAAAAATCCACGCGGACCAGACAGCGGACGGGACTCAAACCCGCACCCTTCGCAAGCCGGGCGAATGCACAATTATGCTACCATGGCCCTGATTGCCGCGTCGAAATTTTCCTAGCCTTAAGCTGCAAGGCAGCGCCATCTCTTCGCATTGTAGGTAACCCACAATGTCAAATGAATACTTTGACATTGTGGGTTACGAGTATTAAACATTTGAATGAAGAAATAGCAATTTTAGTTATGTTTTTTATACATCCATTCAGTAGTTTTTGCGTGAAAGAGTAAAGAAGATCCATACCAACGTAAGATTGATATTAGAAGCGCAAGTGGTTGTTATACAACTTCAAATTGTTGTAGATCCTAAAGAGTCACATATAATGAAAATGATAATAGAAAACATGATTTAAAAATTATCTAGACAAAGATACCCCACTCGGCATATTTCGCCAACTTATTTTTTTCTCTTTCTCACAATATGACGCCTATTGTCCCCATATTGAATTTCTATTACTATCTTAGTAGCACTCCCATGATTAAGACGACTCGATTAACGTATGAATAATCAAAATCAGTATACGTGTTTGGTATCTAGTGTGCCATAAAGGTATATACATACATAAATAGACTGATATACATAATACTCTGTCTGCCCGTCGCGCTTCACGCTCTTTCGTTGCGCAGTGGGGAAAAAGAGAAAGGTATAGGTATTTTTGTTTCTTAGATTTCACGTACACCGCTTAATAAAGGAAATCGCTTAAACGTATTCAAAATGCGTCTTTTTGTTATATTTTTGACGTTTCGCATCCTTTTTATCTGACAACGATGCGAAAAGTCAAATTAGTAATAAAGAGACGCATTTTAACCCGTTTGAGCATGTTTGCATTGACCTACTTAGAAAAGTTCCAATAACCTTCTGGAGTCAGTCGAGTTCCTTCTTTGTTTTCGGATAATGCATTAGACCTAATCATATAAAATAGTACATTTGTTAACAAACCAATAAAATACGGCGTCGAACTATGTTTGAGGACAGCAATTTTTAATAAAGCTATACGATATGACATCACGCTGATAAGTATTTCTGATCGATAAGATATTGATGTACGAAAACCAATCATTGTTCAGTGAACAGCGCCCCATGAGACGTAAAGTGCAGAATTCCAAAAACATAATAACCCCTTTATTCTTAATTATTAGTATTATCATCTGTATAAAATAGCTTAATTGTGAAGCAATGGAAGATATAAACAAGAATATCGAAGAGACTCTAAATATAAAAAATGAAAAGGATTCTATCCTCAAAAAACAAGGTTGCGCTAGTGAAACGTGCTCATCTCCCTCTGAAGAAAAAGCCCAAAATGAAGAAAAACAAGAATCATTACAAGGAACTGCAGATGCACCAGCTGCAATTCAAAAAACCAAAAATAGAGCATTACCAAAAACTGCAAACACTTACGAGCTGGAGAACTTCGAGAAGAAGTATATGTTGATTTTAAATCACAGAGAATTTATTGGTTGTATACCACGGCCTGGGACTGAAAAAGACGTAGATGCACTTGACAAAACGTTCAAAAAGTTTGGTTTTGAAGTTATAGTGAAAAACGATCTGACGTATCGCGAAATAATGGATACTCTAACAAAAAGTAAGTTATATTATCGATTTATTTGTGAGTTTATAATTGATAATGAATAAAGATAACTAGATAATACCCAAGTAAAGGGTTAAATTAGAATTTTAGTCCTTAAGATAAATTTCACGACAAATTAGATTTTAAATATGGGTTTGTTGGGGAAAGCAAGATTATCATTTCATCTTGCACTATTTATTTTAATTAAAATTAATTAGGATAACGCAATGTGACACTTAGGCCGCGTTGTTTCATCCTCAGCTTTCATCTACAGTTAAATATGACTATAGTTAATGTCAAGTCATTTACATAGGGCATGTGTACAATTTTGACAAATGATTATTTTTCCCTAGATAGTATTTTAACTATAGAGAAGTTATTTTTACTTAAGTCTAGTGTTTTAATTATAGGTGTCGATTCTGGCATGCTTCACTAAACCTAAACTTAAATTAGACAATAGTGTATCCTTGTCTTTTCTCTATACAGAATAAAAAGGAGAGACTGATGTTAAATTTAGTTTTTTAAGTTTAGAGAATTATGCCAGAATCGACACCAGTGTATTAACTATACAATTTGAATTTAGTTAAAATACTAGAGAAAAGTAACATTTGGGTAAAAGTTTAGAAATAAGCTTCTTCGTTAAGGATTTGCGGAGGGTGGGGAGAGAGGGGGGAGTGGGTGGGGAACCCCCTATTCAACCCCTATCTGCCGGAGATTCGTAGTTTTTTCAGAAAAGAAAATGTAAACATAACCTCAAAATAAAATATGCATAAAAAGCAAGAGAGTGATGACATGTTAGGTTAGGGCTTAGGGGGAAAACGGTAGTGGAAAGTGCACAAACCCCACAAATGGTAAAACTGTACTTCCAGGGCCCATGAGGTGATACTCGAACGTTTTTATAGAAAAGGTCTCTTTTAATTTTTTTTTTGGCGTTATGGTCACAACAATAACCTAACCTAGTGTGAAGTATCACCACTTGGGCCCTGGAAGTACAGTTTAGCCCTAAAGCCAACTAAAAGCTTCCGAACGTCTCCCGTGCGCTGCGAGAAGTGCAGCCCATCCGCCCTTACGTAACAAACCGCAGGCACTCCATGCTCACCTACGCAGCTACGGCCCAGGTTGTGGGTTTGGGATTCTAGTCGTCGAAGCCATATCAAAAACGTTCTGTGTCCAAATTCGTAGCCAAAGTGAGTCGTAATGCAATCCAATCAGTCCGGGGGGCGCGCCAAGGTCAGTAAAAAGGGTCGAAATCACACAAAAGGAGGCAGAGAACATTCACGGAAACCAAAACGTATTGTTTCACGTTGTTCCGATTACTTTTTGCGTGTCGTTTAACTTTTCTTCTCTCTACATGCGTTTCGTTTCACTCAAAAATGAAAAAGTAAAAATTAAATACATAGGTACCACTCCGGCAACTAAAATCGATGTCAGGAGTTTCAGTAAAACCCCCTGAGCCCCCCCACGGCATCAGTTTTCCCAGAACGAGGAAGCTTATTTCTAAACCCAACCCCGGAGTTATTGTGTATTTTTATTATATACGCTTTGATAGTCACTCAAGTACATATTCCCTATTGCAATAAATAGATCAATATTCAAATAGATTTAGGCAAAAACATTCAAAATATCTGGTAAACATTGGCATTGCATTAGGTGAGTGGCCTGTTTTGTTTATGCCTCAGTTAATTGGAGCTACCGAATACAGTTGGTGTTATTTGTCTTGACAAAACAATTGGTTCCAGATGATGTCCAAGGGCAAAAAATGCAGCCAGAAGGTTTTGGTCAACCAAAACCTGACTGCCGTCTGACTCCCGTCAGACGGAGGGAGACCGAGTGTGGAGCTATTGCATGACAATGCATTATTATTACGATTTAGAGCTGATCTGATAATAAGGGCGATAGGAACTCTGTTTGAACAACGAAACGCTATTGAATTTGATTTGACTTGAGGAGGACCCTGGTCCTAGCTAGATGAAATCCAGGCTAGACTCCAGACCATGCTACGCCACTGCCTGGGTCGTGAAGGTTGTAGGAGGCACACTGCGTGATTTTAATACAGGTCAGGTCGTCATGTTTGAATGGCCTGTCATGTCATCATCATCATCAGCCTATTAATGTCCCCACTGCTGGGGCACAGGCCTTCCATATGGATGGAATAGGGAGATTGGGCCATGACCCACCACGCGGGCCCAGTGCGGATTGGTAGGTGCTAACGACTGCAGATGCAGCCGGGACCAACGGCTTAACGTGCCTTCCGAAGCACGGAGGAGCTCGAGATAGTAATTTTTGGTCACCCATCCAATGACCGACCACTGCGAAAGTTGCTTAACTTCAACGGTCGCAGCCGAACGCGCCATCGAGCTCCTATCATGTCATAATATAATATAATATTTTTTGACCACCCCACCTAAAAGAGTCAATCCGAAGTGACACTGGATCTGAATATATAATCATCAAAAGAGGCTCAGCAACATGCCTTTTTTAACTTTTGATAATAATACCCTTTCTGGTTTTCTAGTGACCGAAGCAAAAAAAACCTTTGAATAAAATATACATTTCATAACCATAATATAAAATTTCAACTGATACTTGCTCTTTGCGTAAATTATGCATATTTCTAAGACTCTTTTGATGAATTTTGTCTGAGTCGTCAGCCACTCCCTATTACAACAAGAAGTTGAATATTCTATTTTTAAATTGGCATTTGTTTTTATCATTTCAGTATTTAAACAAGATTTCACCGACTACGGGTGTATTGTGGTAGCGGTTCTAACGCATGGCGCACAGCAAGGCCTTATTAGAGCCAAAGACATGGAGTATAATGAATTCGAAATTATTAAGCATTTCAATGTCGATGTCAGACCAACTCTTGTGACAAAACCGAAGATTTTAATCGTTCAGGTAAGTGAGTACTCATAATTTTCATAAAAAAAAAAAACCCTTTGCATACAAAAGTTTCCGTACAGTTTCACAAGATGAAAAACCCATCGACAGGGCGAACGCCACTTATACATTTTCTTTGTCACGCTTAGCGTGCGAAGGTGCACAGGGAAGTAGGAGCTTCGTGAAGTATTCTGCAACAGGAGTCTTTATTTATTTATTTATTAAGGTCAGCCAACGGTTGCTACATGGAAACATACAATGAATCTTATCTACTGAATTTAATGCTAAATGTGTTAACCAATTAAAGGCCAACACTGCATGCACATACATAAATTAGGTAAAAGTGTACATTAAATATATATACAGGGTGTTACAGAATTCAGAAATAAAATTTGTAGGTATGTATTCCGAAATAAAAATTTGTAGGTATCTGAGCGGGGTGCAAAGGCGCCTGGGGCAGAGAGGGGGGTCTGTTTAGGTAGTAGTAATCGTACGCATTTATAGGGTTGTCATAAGCAGGTGTAAAATGATATTTTTATTAATTTAATTAGAAAATAAAAGTGGTCTGAAAGGCGTCAAACTTTCGTAGGTAATTCTATACAAGGAACACAACCAAACCCTAAAGTTTTATTTGGGACTTTTGTCACACCCATATATGTATATATATATATATATATATACAGGGTGTGACAAAAGTCCCAAATAGGCATAGTAAATAAATAAATATATATATATATATATATATATTTATTTATTTATTTTAGAATTTATTACATTAAGTTTTAAGTATTATGTTTCTACCAACTGTCACATAATACTTAACATTTACATGCATGTCATGTCTCATAAGCATCCAGAAATCCTTGTTTGAACTTCGCCAGCGAATCGTTATTGACATCTAAGGTCCGACTATATTTGTTGAGGAGTTTGCACAAACGAGGTATTGGGGAATTAGCGCCTAGGACAGTTCTACGTAAGGATGGGACCAGTGGTTTAACGGCGAGCGTGTAGAATCCTCTCTACTCTCTAGATTACTTCGAAAAACAATAAAGTATTGGCAACTTTCTACATTAAGCCGTTTTTCATTTTCTAAACATTTTCGGTGTTACCTAGTATGACGTAACTAAAAATTTACGGTTTTCGCAAATATTCCTTTATCTGTACTATAAGACGCTACTTCGTACCAAAGGAGATTGCTCAAATTGGCCCAAATACACAAAAAATATTGACATATACGGTAATTCTTGGCATAAGTTATACTTTATTTTACAGTCATTAGATTTTAACGGACACCTTTGTAAAATATATTCATTTTAAAAAGGACTTTTAATTTTACCGGTTTGGAAAATATACGAATCATTTTTAATGGCTATGGGTGTAGTAACATTCAGCCAAAGACTGATCGAAGTTGTTTATATAACATAAAATCAAATCTATTTTGTAAAGATCGATAAAATAAAACATTTTTTTTAATTACACTGTGGTATTAATATCCACAAGTATATTATAATTTTCACTACATGCAAATGTGATTAGACAATTATTATAGATAGTAGGCGACATCATAAAGTCTATTGCCATACATTTTTCGCGTAACACCTCCATAAACACATTATAAGGTATGATACACTAAAAATCTAAGCTTTAAAAACAAGCAACTATCTGTTAATCTACATGCTCTATATACCTGAATCTAATACATAATTTCGGTACTTGGCTTGATTTCCGTAGTTTACTATATAACTTATTTGTTTTTTATTATTTTAATACCTATGTACCTATTTGCAAACATAACCTCAAAATCGTTCAGTGTATATGGTTTATAGAAGTTCTCAGGGGTGTCCGTCTATAATATTCGTTTCTATAGTAATTTATATGTAATTTCGAATCTAGGAAACAATTTTTCATGATTATTGGTCTTTAGGCCAAACATGTATGGAAGCTGAGCAATCTCCTTTCAAGATTCTAAGTTCACGGGAAGTACCTTGCAGGTTTTGATTCCCGTGCGAGTTTCGAAAATTTGCGGCATAAATGGCTGTATCTTTTGATTGCTTTGGCTTAGAAGTTTGATTTTTTTCACTGCTCCAAGGGACAGTAGACCTGAGTATTAGATATGAATTTCAGTTTGATACCTCCTGTTCCTGAGAAAAGCGGTCGTGACAAATGGACGAACGAACAACAAAGTGATCCTATAAGAGTTCCGTATTTTCCTTTTGAGATACGGAACCCTAAAAAATGTTACCAGATAATTTTGCAACATCCAGTTGTGTTTTAGGCTTGTCGAGGGCAAGGTAACAACGACTCTGTGACCGTTTTTGGTCAAAGAGGACCGACTCAGAGGAACTTGGATGGTAAAGAAGCTCTACAACCTTATACCTTGCCAGTCGAATCCGACATGCTGATATTGCACAGCTCGTATATGGGGAAAGTATCGTTCAGGTATATATCATCTATAAATACTGTATTTTTCTATTTGCGTCAGGTACAATCTATATTAATATTATAAAACCGAAGACTTTGTTTGATTATTTGTTTGTACACGCAAATCTCAGAAACTTATATACTGGTCCAAAATTCAAAAAATCCTTTGTGTTGGATATAGTACATGTAACGAGGAAGAATATAGGCTTTGTAACATAACGCTACGACTGAAAAGAGCGTAGCACCAATGAAAAATGTTTCGAAAACGGGGAAAAAATATTCCTTTTCAGAACTTCCGTTACGTGTGCTGCGTAAACGGTAAAATTTACGTAAAAAAAAACATGCACACGGACGAATTCGCGGACTCAGCTAGTATTAAATAATTCTTAAACCATTCATATTTTTATGTTGGTTGGCTTTCCCAAATGCGTTCTTTAGAATTCATGTCTGGGTTGGTTACAAAAATAAATCAATAAAAGTAAAATTGGACACCAATACAGAGTATTAGGGCTGGCCCTACATAGTCCGACGCTGGCCTTACACAATCTGAATCAGAATCTTGATTCATAATATGAATTCATATTATTAATTCAGAGTGCACGGAACTGCATACAATTTAACTACTATCCACACACATGCTGATTATGTCAGATAATTAATATGTCAGATTAATCCTACATAATGAAACTGACAGGCGTTAAGAATTCATAGTATGAAAAAATTCCAAGCGAACCTCTTTTCATACATCAAAGGTTACATTTAGATCGTATTTTAACACAAAAGAACCATATCCTAAACATAATAGGCCATGCCACAGTGACGCCCAGTTCCGTTTTATTCGGAAAAAATGGGAACATAATCATTTTTCTAAGCTCAAATTTTTAATAACTGACATTCATTGCCACATAACTCATATTTGCCATAATTAAGCCGAATTGTTACCAATTATTCACAACATTACATTATTTAAATAAGAAATAAACCCGCGTAGGCAACCAACAAGCAATAACATTTGACATTTCGGAGACCTCACGCTACACTAGCGCCTCTAGCGGCGGATTCATACGCGATAGCCCTCCTTGCATACAATTTAAGTGTGTGGCGTTTCCGAACGCCACGATATTTTCATTATGTTGGCAACCACGCCGCAATGATCGGGTGGTTGGCAATAGAACGCCACAGCGATCTCTCTTGCTCAGGCGCGACTCTTCGGTACAGAGGTGTCACATTGTAAGTGTTCATACTGTGTACCTAGAATACGTAACTCAATCTTGTATTGTGAATGTGCATACATTAAATATATTCTACGAAGTTCTGTGTTTCATTTCTTCGCGCCTGCGTTCCTCAAGAAAAAGGAAGGCCGCCTCCGCCGGCAGTCATTCCCATAAGTGCCATCCACACACATTATGATAATGTCAGATGGCGGATAATTAGTGTACCACTGTACACAAAAGAGACAACTGATCAAACGGAATTTATTGGACTGGTGTGAGTCAAGGCATTGGATATCAGATTAAGAATTCATATTATGGATTCCGATTCTGATTCAGACTATGTAAGGCCAGCCTAAAACTCCGTGGCTGTAATCAAACTCCATTCGAGCTCATCCGTAATAAAACAAATACAATAAAAAAGTTTTTGTTTTTAACTTTTGGTGTCACCCACAGAACATTGAACTCTTGTTCCGAGATGTCATGTCACTTCAAATAATGACCCTGTTATAGCATTGAACAGCTTTAGTAGTGTTGTTCTAACCAGCGGCCTAACTGTCCAAATTCAATTATATAATCAATAATAATTTTCGATGCGATCAAATCTAAAGAAAAGTGTATGTGATATAACTTATATCTTTCTCGACTATTTTGTTTTACCTAGGTCCAGCAAATAACTCCACTCTATCTGATGTTAAGAAATGGAATGAAACAGAAAGAGAAATACTTATGGAAACAAACCCAGGATCTCCCCATGTTATCCTCCCCACTGGCCACAGGGAAAGTCAAAAGTGTGTGTAAGTGATGAATATAAATGTTGATGAGGATGCCAGATTCATCGCACCTACTCTATCCTTACTAATTTATAAAAATCTTAGTTTTTGCAATTCTTCGAGATTTACAGATGATCTTCGTGCTTTTTTCCAGTGACTCGCTAAACGGTTCGTGGTTTATTCAATCTCTTTGTTGTATGATAAACAAATTGGCAACAACGCATGACTTACAATCCATTATGGTGGAAGTTAATCGGCTAGTTGCTATTGAACTTTTTGACAACGAGCACGATACAACAAAACAAGAGCCCGAATTATTGAAACAAATGCCAGTGATTACTTCGACTTTAATAAGGAAGCTGTACCTGAGAGCGTATAGAGATGATACAACGGAGATAGTACCCGATATTACACCCCCATTGACGCCACCAAGTATACAGTGCCACTGTCACGTAAAACATTTCAATTACATAAGGGATCAATTAAAGTAAGTAGTCTTTGCTTAGGAAACACTGCTAAACAACGCGTGAGATACTTTATTTGTCAGGGCCGAATTTAAGGCTGGGCATATGGGGATGTGGCCCACGGGCCTCCACAAAAGAGGGGTCCCATAATGGAGATGAAAATAACCAAATTTCGACGGACCACCAACTAGGGAGGGCATTAAATACGACCTCGTTAGGGGACTCTACGCATTCGTTGCCCCCACACTTCGAAATCCGGCCCATTTGTAGTGCAAGCGTGTATATAAATTGTTTTTCACCCTTTTACATAAAAAAATAATGAATGAATGCATGCATCTCATATTGAATTCATGTTTCTACTTGATGTCTCTGTATTTAATAATACAAAGAAAAAAAAAGTTTCTAACTGAGTGCTTGTAACACAGCCTATACTGAAAAAACTATATGCGATTGGTTAGAGAATATCTCGACAAATCTCGCATTTTATTGATTTTCTTTAATTTTAATGTACTTTCGTAATTGGAGCAATCATCAAAAAGTCAAATTAACGAAATCGATATTGAGATTGCATATTACATGAACAGAATCGGGGCGTACTAATCTTAATTAGGCTGGTACTTTACTAGGCTATTCGTGTTTGTTAGTTTGTAAACTTGACATCAGTCTATCCTTTTCATCGCACTAATATTATAAAGGCGAAAGTTTGTGAGTGTGTATGTTTGTTACTTCTTCAACCGTCTAAACGGCTGGAGCGTTTTTACTAAAATTTGGTATGGAGTTAGCTGACACACTGGATTAACACACAGGCTACGTTTTAATGCGGGATCACTAATAAACTACGGGTAACACAGCGGGGCACAGCTAGTTCTTTATAAGACTGTTGCGAAGCTTACAAACAGCAATTACGAATAGCCAAGTGAAGCGCCGGCATAATAACAGTCTTAATTTGTGTGATTTCAGATATTACATAGACGAACACCAAGACGATAATGAAGCGCAACTATTATACGATATGGTAAAAATCTTTGGTGATAGTCATGAATTCAACGATGTGAAGAAGCAAATGTTGCAAGTTATCTCGAACTATCTCAATGGACCTAATGTTAGACAATATAAGTTTAGGAAATTTGTGTTCTTTTACAAACTGTAACACTACTCTCTAAATAAACGAATATCGTGACTGTGTGTTTTAAATAATTTACTACAATTTTATATAAGGCGGTTCACCCACTGCCCAATTTATATAGAAATCCCGCGACCTACAACACAATGAACCGCGCCACCGAAGGTTTAACCATAAAATAGTATAACACACTCCGCGATATAATCTTGAAGTAGATAGATTCATATTTGAAATTTAATAGCGCCCGGCAATTTAAAACCAAATTGATAAAAAAAATACGTGTGGCACTCGGGGACTGCCACGGTAAAGCTATTGCATAGCATTTTTATCAACTTATGCAATTGTAATTATTTATTTATTTAATTTATGCAGTATTTTTTTATATTCATTTCAGTTACACTTTTTGAGCGTGGTGACCGATATGAAAACATTTTTTTTCTTTTATTAAATAAATGAGAAGTTAATATTATTTAAAATATTTGTATAATCTTACATGCGAGCTTCGTACAGTCGTACCATATACATGCACGTTAAGGTTCAACTAGTCACGGGCTCGAACTCACTCGTGGACGCGACCAAAAAGCACGCTGTCTCACGTAGCATTGTGTCTGAAAGAGATAGAATCAGTTAGGAGCAGTTAGCAGCTAGTCTACACCACGGAGGAAAAACAAAGGTCTACACTCATACGTCTAGTCGCACGCACACAAACACCGTGCCGAAGTCTGCCAAACTGAAACGACGTTAGCCGATGCACGGCTGTCCCGGTCGGAGTGGGGGGGTGTTATAAGAAAGAAAGAAAAAGAAACAAAGAAAGAACACATTTTTTGTAAACTCTTAAAAAATACAAAATGTTAAAAGAAACTCATACAGTAAGGGCTAACCAGGACCCTGCCTCAGCGTTAGCTGATACGACCTGTGTCGCGCCAGCGCTGATATTCTGGCAGGGTCTGCTTGGAGTTATATAAGCTAGCGGTGGGCGCGCGTGAGGCTCTCGTTGATGTAGACCCGAGCGCCAGCCCCCACGGCGGTGGCCGGCGGGCCGCCCTCATCAGCCGTGTCCGAGGCGCCGTCCTCCAAATCCATGACCCTCCGCAACAGTGACCCTGCGGCGCACACGCGCGCCCATAAAGAGGTCGTCGCGCAGCTGGCGGCGCGCCAGGCGCACGTCCCGCCTGTCGAGAGTCACTCCCAGCCGCACCAGCCGCCCAGCATGGTGACGTTCTGCTCCACGCTGACGCCCCTCTCTTCGGGCAACCCGCCGATCTCCAGGTCGGACATTAACGCCTCCTGATCACGGTCGTTACCCTCGGCGCGCAGCTCGGATATGGTGCGCTCCAAGTCCATCCTACCAGTTGCATCAGGATATGCTTGATGCTGCTCCAACATCGCAATTCTGCGCTCGAAGGGTCAAGTCGAGCGGTAAAAGTACTGCGGAAGGCCGCCATCTCGGAGCGGAATTCCCTCATCTCCTTCATGCAGTCGGCCATTATACTTTTTATATCACTGGTATGATTATTTCCGTTGGCGTTTTCCTTGGCCTTACTCTGGACCTCATCTTCCTTGGAGAGCCCCTGGCCAGGTCGTCAGGTTCCCGTGCAGCAACCGGCTTTTCGGGCTCGGAAGATTCGCTGATAACCTTTACATTCGTATGCATATTGTCACCCCTGCGTGTGCTCTTCTTGCAGTTCGGGGATATCCAGTCCTTGCTGACACACGACTTTTCCGGGATGGCGAGGCAAACCTTTATATTTTATTAGGTAAGCACAGCAAACAACGGCATTGCCCGGCGCCAAAAAACTTCCACAAGCTCCACAGTTTACCACCTTTAGTCCAAAATTTTAAATTATAATTATAAAGTCTAAATAAAAGGGAGACAAACAAAAATAAGAACAGGTGGTGGGGTCTAAAACAAATATATATAAAAAAAGGAAAAAGGGAAAAAAATAATAATAAGAATACGAGTGCGGGATTTGAACCGACGACCGCGGTGATGCGTTGAACCTTGGTCCCGTGGCAAAAACTTAAAATCCGGACGTTTTAGTCATAAAATGGTACCATTACTCACATAGAACTTTTTGTGTGAAAAAGGCGGGATTTTTTCGTCGAAAGTGGGGCACAGTAAAAATACGTATATAATCAAAAGTTTTTAAATATTTATCTTTTTATTTGAGTTCAAATTACGTTCACGTGACATTAGATAGATACCTAATAAAAATATCCATAGAAAATATGCTATTTTAAATCAGATTTACCCTTTCGTTAAATAGTTGAGTCTTTGTTTGTGAGTTCTTCATTACGCGTCGGGCAGGCGGCCAGTCCACACTAAACTTTTCCGTGCCACCTGCCCGCGCTTTCTCAGTACCCTGCACGCACGTTCGAGTTATTCCCGGAAAGCGGGATTGAGCCTGTCCCGTGCGGGACATTTAATTTTGATTTAAAAATCGGTACATCCCGCTGGAATCGGGACGTCTGGCACCACTGAATGGTATGGTATTTAAGTCAATATGTACTTTTATTATTCATATTCAATGTAATTTAAAAAATTCGGACAAATCCGGACGGATGTTAAGAGCCCTTTTACAAAATTGCACCGTTGCCGTACTAATCGGCGCCTAGGTAGATTTGCACTAGTATATACTGCATTTTACGTCTATGTTTAGAGTCTTTTAAAATAATTATTAATGAAGTAATTATAAAAATATATACATATTTAAGTAGTTCAATGATGGCAGATTAGTTATATGAAATTTTTTGATAGGAATCTCTTATCTATTAGACAAGTCCGTCCGTCCGTCTGTGGTGCTGTTTCAGCGGCCAAACCGTAAGAGATAGATAACGAGAATATTTAAGTTATAAGTTGCGAATAGTCTGATAAGACTACAAACCGGATTTGAGTAACGTAGCACTTCCGGTTTTCGAGAAATCACGAATTTCAAACGAAACCACACAAAATCTCCGAAGTTCTCAATTAATTAAATACATTTTTTTTTTGTTTTTTATCAGGTTTTGGTGAACATTTGGTTCACTGGTTTGCTAGTTCTATTTAATTCAATACCAAAATACGAGGTAAACCTGCATTATTTTTTGGGAAAACTCACGGAGGTTAGATGTTTTTTTTTGATAATTAATGAGATAGAAAATCAAAATTCTAATACATTATGTTACAACAAAAACATATTTCTGGTGTCGTAGTAATTAATTTGATCTAATTTATTGAACATTATTGAGAGATTCAGGCGTTTGAAGTTGTGCATATTATCGTTTTTCTGTAAACTAGCTAGAAATATCTCTCTCCCGCTTCAATACACAACTTAAATAGCTTCCACACGATACAATTTTACGTCCAATTTGATTAGATTGACAATCGAATAGGCTAGTTGACCCTTTTTGGAAAAAGGTTTTAAATGGTTAATAAATGTTCTATTAGACCGAAAAAAAATGTATTGTATTTTTTGAGACCTAGAAAGCTACAAATCTTCAATTTTAAAATAGACTTTTCATGGACATACAAAAACGCTGTCGGCCATTTTAGTCTGTAGATTATCTATGCTATGACGTCGACGGTAGTAAACAAAAACTCGTAAGCACGTAGAAAATAACCTATCTGAGTTTATAATAAAAAAAACATGATTTCTAATAGATACCACGAAAAATATAGTAATTATCATTATTGTAATGTACGAGAATGTAAAAAAAAGGTAAATTTAAAAAATCAAAAAACCCGACTGCATAATTATTATACTTCAAATAAAAACTGAAAAGAAAAAAACAAGTCCAGTAGTCTATAATTCTGTTAATAAGGAACAAAGCTACTTTAACAGTCGGGACCCATTAGATATTCAAGAATACATAATATTTTTCAACAGTGGGTCCCGACTGTTAAAGTAGCTTTGTTCCTTATTAACAGAATTATAGACTACTGGACTTGTTTTTTTCTTTTCAGTTTTTATTTGAAGTATAATAATTATGCAGTCGGGTTTTTTGATTTTTTAAATTTACCTTTTTTATTTCACACTTTTTAGTTAGTATTTTAAGACGGTATATACCGTAGTCTTGTTACTTCAGTATGGGAATTAATATCGCGGGAATTATTAAGTACCTTGCGTCGGTCTAAAAGATTGATTTATTAAGACATATAAAGAGCGGGGTCAAGGCTACAGATGGGCCTCAATTTTCGCAAAAATGTGTGAAGTTAAATCAAGTCGTTACATAAATGTATGTAAATTTTATAGTAAACTAGCACTTACTCAAAAAGTCATCTTTTGTTTATGTTTTTTTTTAATAGTTTAGCAGTAAATATAAAATTCATTTACTTTTATTCGTCGACTATTTAAAATTGGCAGTGGCTGCATTGTCATGTCAATGCCGGACGTCTAAGACAATATACACAAATTCAGTGTCAGTCCCTAGTCTCATAATTTGATATACCTACATAATTCACAGAAACCCAATATGTAGATGCCAGAAGTTAACTTCAAATGTTTTTAATCACTCTATATACAATACCAATCAATGACGTTTATGTCGCAGGTTGAAGAAAGCAGTAATTCCTGTCTGTTCTTTTGGACAATGGAGGCAACTGCCTTAGATCACTAAATTAAATAATTTTTTATTTTTTTTATTTTTTTTTCTCTTTATTTGTGGCTACAAACAGTCATACATTTTAATATAATTGTTCTGTGGTTACAGTGAAATTATAAGAGACGACCTACAGTGCCAGCAATTTAACTTATTAGTTACAGAAAAACATTATAGAACAAGTATTGTACTTAAAAAGAAATAAAATACATGAGAAGATAAAACATATAAACATGCAAAAATATTTTGATTTAGATGTTGTCTTTTAATTTTAGTTTAAGAAATTTCGTTATATTACTATGTGAAATATTAAATATATCAATGTTATTGAAGTTATTATTATAATTGTTGGTGGAACGATAAATAAAGGAATTTCGCGTGTATAATTTAGTGAGCGGTGGAGGAACAAATAGTAATCGCTTGCGAGAGGACCGCATAGGCATACGCACACGGTTCACGAAAGATATCCTACTTAAAAGC